TATAAGCATGGGCAAGTTATCATGGTGTATATACTTCTTTTTACAACTACTCCCTACTCAGAACATCAAGATAAAGGCAGAAAAAAGACTTTGCATATACAGATTCCATTTGATTTCATATTGCAATATCCATTATGAGTCCTCTGTAGCCGACTGGTTATACTTGCAAAACAAAAATTATTACCACATTCACTTAACTCGTAGTATGTGTCAGAAAATGTTCTAGGATCTTTGTATATATAATTTCCTTTATTATCTCAAGAAATCTACAAAATAGATATTATAGTTTCCATGCAGAGGAAGAATCTGAGACTAAGAAAGGTAAAATAAGGTGTCCAAGGCCACACAATTCATTAATGAAAGGTTAGAATTCAAACCTCTTTCTGACTTTGGGGTCTTGTTCTTCACCATTATCTTATAATGTATTTAATATTCATAATAAACCTATCTATTACCCCTCTTTATGGATGAGACAACTGAGGCTCAGAGTTCAGTACCTTGTCAAAAGTTTCTCTTCCATGGAATGCACCAACGAAAATTAAATCAGGTTCAATGAAGCCCTTGTCCTTCAAATCACCCTTCCAAGTTGACATAGTGCCACTAATAATTGTGGCTGAGACACTCTTGTGAATCACTATTCTTTACTACTTTTCAATCCACCATCAAATTATTTATTTGAATATAAGGAGAAAAATAATAAAGTAAAACCAACAAAACATTTCTTTCATTCCTACAGTAATGGAGAAAAGAGAGGTTCTGGTTTGAAGCACTGAAAAGTGAGCCCTGAGTTATTTTCAGCACATCCAGTAACCCCAGTACATCTTCTCCCTGTGGACTCAAAGCAGCATATGGCTGTTCTTTTCACAGTCAGGCTCTTCTATATACTCTGAATCTCTAGGTAACAATATGTTTTATAATCACTAATAAGGACCACCTACCTCTTGAGAGATTCAGCCTAACAAAGTAGAGAGACCTACTTGTTCAAATTCACTCTCAGGTGGACAACACACCCTTCATACATGGTCTGAGATTACTGAATAGAAAACCTAAATCAAAATAAGAAAATTATGCTAAATGATTTTAACTGCTAATTAGGAACATATGTTATCTCCATAAAAAAAGAAAAAGGAACAATAATATTTGAAACAATTAAAGACAATGTTTCTGAAGAAATGAAATGCCTAAACATTTTCCAGGAAAACAAAAAAAAGAATAATCTACTTGCTTAAAGAAATTCATTCATTCTACTAAGATATATTCAGAGCAAATTTTATGCAGTCGAATTTGCCTAACCATATACTCTCTGTGCACAAAATTATCCTACGGTTGATTTCAGTCAGAAAAACTGTCTCTTTGAAAACAAGCAGAATTCAGTCCGAGAACTGACATAAATGCTTGCCATTGAGATTGAGAGACCTATCGTAAATCTGGTTTAGTAGAATAAGAAGAGATGGAGTATATGGAGAAGAATAAAATCCTCCTCTAAGTACCCTCCTTTGCTTCCTAAGATGATTCCCACCAGTGGTCAAGCCAGATTAGGAGCCTGGAACCTCTCTCTAGGCTCCATTGCAAAACTATATACACATCTTCATCAGTGCACCTGCTGCATTGTATTAGTATTGTTGGCTTGAGTGTCTGTCTTCCCTTCTAGCTTGTGAGTATCCCGAAGGAAGCGACCACATATTTACTCTAGTCCAAACACCTAGCACAGAGTATGAGCACAGAATAAGCTTATCAAATCTATTCAAAAATAACTGTTTAGGTGACCATACCAATCCACATGCTGCCATAGGAAAATAAACCATGCATTTATTTTATATAAAGTTTACTTTTTAAGTGCAGAAGATTTTCTAAAGTATTAAGGCCAGTATCAAAGACAGGCAGAGCCAAGTGTCTGTGGGGACAAATATTCAGCATTTTACCTTTTTTTTTTTGTCTTTTTTCGTGTCCGGCAACGGATCGCAACCCTAGGTGCTGCGCCCGCACCTCGCTCAGCCAGTGAGCAGGAACCAGTCTGTATGTGGGATCCGAACACTCGGCGGGAGCGTTGCCGCGCTCTCAAGCTGCGCACTGTAGCAGTGCGCCACCGGGCCGGCCCAATATTCAGCATTTTACCTTTTTTTTTTTGTCTTTTTTCGTGTCCGGCAACGGATCGCAACCCTAGGTGCTGCGCCCGCACCTCGCTCAGCCAGTGAGCAGGAACCAGTCTGTATGTGGGATCCGAACACTCGGCGGGAGCGTTGCCGCGCTCTCAAGCTGCGCACTGTAGCAGTGCGCCACCGGGCCGGCCCAATATTCAGCATTTTAAATGCAGAGATTTTTTTCTCAGAACTTTCTAAAGCAAACTTAGTGCCTCTATTAATAGGACCTTCACTTTTCTACTCACAACACTCATTGTCAGATCTCCCACAGACCATACAGAATCATGAGATACTGGACTACTAATAAGTAATAATTATGAATCTCAGGTGTAACAGGCATCAGACTAAGTGCTTTAGTGTATTATTTGGTTTAATCTTATTACAATCTTATAAGGTGGGTGCTACTAATGTTTCCATTTTAAAGATGATGAAACTGAAGCAAAGAACTGGTTTCAGTGCCTTGCCTAAGACCTATGCAGAATTTAAACAAATTGGTAGCTTTCCAAGCACCTTTCAAGCAGGTGCCTGATTCAACTACCAAGAAGAAGCAGTCATTTAATTTGTGCTGATAATCAGAATTCAATTTTTGATTTATAATCCCTCCCATAGTCTAATTCACTGTTTTCTTTTAAGAGTGCATTTTCCCTGTTTCAGTAAAACTAGCACTGCTATCTAGTAAATGATCATAATCACGCATGAGAAATAATTCTTACAAATTGTTTTGATATATTTTACGAATGATAACACAGTCATAAACACAAAACTTTCATGCACAATTAAATGTGCATAAAAGATCAGCTTGAAATTCAATATGAAGTTTCATAATAACTACATTATATGTATATAGAGAGAGATGTGTGTGTATGTGTACTTGTGTGTATAATCATTTTAGGTATCTGGTATTATATATTAGTGCATATATTTTCAAACATTGAATTCTGTTATATAAATCCTTAATCATAAACATATAACAGGCAGTTTGACTTTAATAAAAATCACATAAGTAGTAGCTTCCCTATTTTAATCCTTGTCAAATTCCTTTGTCATGTTTAATTATTTTATTTTACATACGTCCACTTTCAAAAGGGCCTTTGTCAAGTTATTGATCCACCTGTGGAGTTATCAAAGCTATGTTTTGATAAATGTCAATTTGGGTTGCAGAGCTATAGATATGATTTAATGAAGCAGCTACATGTAGCGAACTATAGATACATACTCTTACGTACATAGCACAGCAGCAGTTGGAAACATTAGTTGTCTATGCATTATTAAATGCAGAGCTGTGATAACTACAAGGAAGCAATTTCAAAGGGACTATAAATCATAAATACTCTAGCTGTGTTATTTCTCATCATCCACTTTTTTGCTGAGAATTTGTGTGACTGATGCTGCATAAACATATCACTTTGGGGACATATTATCACTTTGGGGAACATACAGAAGCAAAAAATGTATTAAAAATACCAAACTGATGTATTTTGAATGGATTAAAACACAGGAAAAACATGCACACTCTCACAGTACTATGGTAGCTTTAAGAATCAAGAAGAGAAAATGCTTTCACTTAAGAATGAATTACACATTAGAACAAAGCACAGTAGAAGAATATGTTCCTAGTTTACATGAAGCATTTTAAAAGCATTTTATTGCCTACAAACTTAACATTGCTGCTATAGCAATTCCTTGGGCACTAAATTCCTGTAAATAGTCCTATGTTTCTGTAGAAGAGATGCTATGTGAAGGAACTCCTATTCTCGACTGAGACTACAGGGCACGTTCCCTGCCTGCTTCCCTATACCTGAAGAAGACAGCGTGCACTGATATGAAGCCAAGGGCTATTAAAATGTGAAATAATACTTTACCTGATGGTAAACAGATGCTGCCCTTCCAACACCCTCCATCTCCACCCTACCACCACCATCCCCAGCCCTGTGCCCTGTGATTTCCTGGACTCCCCTTATCCATCAAGTTCAGGATTGGCTTTCTGCTCCAGAGCCCCTTATAACTAGTGGGTGTTGGTACCTGGCAGCTCTCCCCAAAGTCTCCAAAGACCCCTGCCCTAGGAGAGCTCCTCTGGGGGGCTATCCACCAGCCAGGCACAGGTGATGAAGCTCCTCCTCCCTGCCACCATACTCATTTGCTAACCCCTTTTGGAAAGAGATGGAGCCCCGAATGGCAGCAAGACACCCCTAGAGGCATATGCCAACTGCCTTCAGCACCATCCCCAATCCCTGGGAGATTATTCTGAGCTGGGCTCTCAAATTCACTCTCACATGGCCACTTGTAGGGACTGCAAGATTCGTGGGCTTTGTGCCTTCAGTGCCTGAGATAGACAGGGAAAGCAGGCAGCCCTAAAGGCTCTTAAATAATCTGAAGATCACCCTTGGATACATTAACTTTCCCTGGTGTTGCAATAGAAAGAAGTAATGTAAATACAGAACATGAGTCACTTTCATCAATTAGATGTAGCTACAAGGTATCACCTTATGATGTGGCAACAGTGATATAAACTTTTTTATTTTTTAAGTCCAATCTTTATCATTCTGGGCACATTCAGTCAGTTCAACCCCACTCCCAACATACATGCATGAGTGAGTCTTTCAGAAAAGGGCAAAATTTATCTAAGTGTATAGTCAATTAAAAGGAAATGAGATCTTTCATTAAATTCTTAAAGATATCAGGAGACTTCTCTGCAGAGGTTTAAGAATGTCCATAACATTTTAAAGTTGAAGGAAGTCATAAATTTTCTAAAAACTTTTTCTACAGGAAAATCTATTCTAAGAAAAGTTATATACATAAAAGTAAACCATTCCTCCTTGACAGCTATATACATTAATGAACATTTATATTGATACTTGCTTTTAAATGAAGCTGGTTGGTCCAGTGCCCAATGACTTTGTATTCTGTACTTTTGTTGGTTATTTGATACTGGAAGATATCATAACGTCCAGGAGCATCTCCATTTTCATTAAAAGTGACGGGTGTACCAGCACTACCTATAAAGATTTAGAAAACAATGTTAATAAAGTTTTAGTAAGATAGCCCACTGGGCTTATGTTTCTCTTAGAGAAAATGGAAGATAAAAATATATTGTGTGTGGTAAGTGACTGTAACCCATACAAGGTCATTCTTGATAGCATAATGCCTTTTACATGAAAAGAAGCCCAGACTCACATACAGGAATAAGATGCACTTTAAAATGCACATTAGAAAGTAAATGATGAGTATATACAAGTCAGGCAATACACATAATGGCTAAATAAATAAAAGTTGATAGGCTGAGCATTAAATACAGGCTACATAGAATGGCTGTTAATAGATAAAATGTAAATATCTTGAAGCATGACAGCTATTGTACAGTATGAACTACTAGAAATATGACAGGAGAATGTCCCAGCCAGACATCTGAGCATCAGCTCCACTCTGAAGGAGGTGCACTTTTCAATTTCTCTAACTTTGCTACCTTGGCCCGAGAGTACATCAATGTGAGCTACTATTGGGAACCCTCAATGGGTGAGACAGTGATCAATGGGAAGTCTCAACTCTGCTCAGATCATGAAAGTTTCCGATTCATTGTGACAAATGTAACTGGCAGAGCAGCAGGATGCAAGAAATGGAGCTTAGAAAAGTCTACATTTCTTGCATACTCTTTTCTAAACTCCACTTCTCTTGGAGGCTTTCATCTTTTCCCTTAAATAGCTTCTGCTCACTTTTACTTTCCCTCTTATTAACGTTTATGTTAATTACAGGTGTAAAGGTAGAAAAGGATCACACCTCCCCCCACCCCAATGTTTTCTTGTTTCACCTGGGCTCACTGCCTGTACAGACTTTCCTTTTTTCTTACAGCCTCTAGACCCTGCTTCATCTTCTTGGATTACTCTTTCCTACTTTGACAAGTTCATCAATCTCTATTCTTGGTGCCTATCTTCTCACTGCAGGCCCCTTTCCCTGAATTTCTTCTTACAGAAAACTGCATTTCATTTCTGTAGTGTCCTAGAAAGTTTCCCCTTCTTGCTATCTCTTTTCCAATTGTAATCTCCAATATTATATACTACTAATACTTATATACGTCAACTGGATATGTTTATTTCCATCTTAGAATTTCTTATTCTCTTTGTAGACTATATACCATTAATCACAAAATTCTAGGGCTGGCCCAGTGGTACACTGGAGAGTGCACTGCTTGGGAGCGTGGCGGCGCTCCCGCCGAGGGTTCGGATCCCATGTGGAGACCGGTTCCCGCTCACTGGCTGAGCGCGGTGTGGGCGCAACACCGAGGGTTGCGATCCCGTTACCGGTCAGTAAAAAAAGACAAAAAGGAAAAAAAAAATTCTAAAATACTTATCATTCAAAATGGATGACTTTATCAAAAACGGCTCTAACTTGCAAATAAATATAGTCAGAGTCACACAGCAATAATTAGAGTTCTTTCTTAGTATAAAATGGAGAGATTTCTAATATCCTGTTTTCTTCATTCTTCCTAAAATCTGAACATAGTGTGAAGTCTCTGATGAGACCACAGATACGTGGTGTCATTAAGAACTTCTGAAGCTGCAGAAATGGCACCACATGGAGGAAAGAGCACTGGGCTGAGGATCAGCAGCCGCACGTCCACGCTGATTTTGTTCCCCGTTCATCTTCACAACTTGTGTATATCTCTTTCTTTACTTATCATGTGGGGATGTAACAATGAATATGAATATATTTTAAAGTCTTAAAGGAGCTGTATACATGTAAATTATTATTATTATTAATTTATGTGGGAAATGACTTTATATATAAATTAAGAAATGAGAAATTGGGGAATAAATTAGAAGCTCTGCAATCAACCGGTACTATCTTAAATACTCTTTAGATGCTCAAGTGGAAACTCATTTGCCATATTTGCCATACCTGACCAAAACCCTTTCTAACTCCTAATGACCTTTGACAGCTTAACCTCTTAAATCCTCTGTTTCTTCATCTATGAAATGGGGGTAATAATGACACTTTTCTCATAGAGTTGTTATGAGAATTAAATGAATCAATACTTCTCATACATTTAGAATAGAACATGGGATAATTAAATATTATTCACTCCATATTTATTTTTAGTACATATCAATGCATAGTAATAGAAAGGATGTTGAAAGTTCTTTAGGTAATGTCTAGACAAAAGATTATTAGAATTAAAATGAGAAATATATTTCTGGCTGGAAAAAATACATATGTTATGGATTTCACATTATCATCATCCATTCCTGACCTTTCTATATCACTTTTAAAAAAATTTAATGTCATATTCTCCCCGAATAAAGGGATATTTAATTTTCTCTAACTAAAATCTCCAAAGCTCTCATCTTTTGACTGAATGACTCTATCTTCTACAACAGTAGTTCCCAGTCTTTTTCATCACAGTGATTCTAAGAAGAATGTCACTTGTGTAACACATTCCCATGAATGTATTCTGAGCTATACATAATTACTAATGTGCTAGCTCTTTCTGAATCTCTTTTCTCCTATTCAAAAAGCAGATTGGAAAGCAAATGAATGACAACTGCATAATCACGAAAATAATAATTTTCAACTTAGAACTTCAAATATCATTATTAATAGCAAGTTACACTAAATTTGACATTGTAGTAAGGGGAAATATACTAAAGCAGTTAGGAATTTGGGTTCTGGGGTCAGATTGTAGGGTTCAAACCCTGGCTCTGCCACTTATTAGATATGTTATCTTGAACAAGTTTCTTCATTTCCCTGTATCTCACTTTTCTCATTTTTAAACCAGGCTAATAGTAATTCCCACCTCAGAGGGGTATGTGAGGATTAAATGACTCAATACATTTTCTTTCAAAACAATACCACATATACCTAAAATCAAGTTCCCTAAGCTCACCATGCTCTGGTTCACCATCCTGTCTTTGCTCATGCTATTTCCTCTAAGTTGCCTTCCTCCTTCCGCCTAACCCTTCTTCTCTGTATAATTCCCTCAAGATGTGCCTCAAGGGTCCATGCAACTGTCGAAGCTTAATTCTCCAAGCATGAAGCAGGGACCCAAGTACCTCTTCGTGTCCTAATTTGCTCCCTCAAAGCACTCCCCACAGTTTTACTACCAATTCCATACCTGATCAAAGCATGTATTCAACAGATATTTATTGAGGCCTATTATGTGCTGAACACAAGGTGGACCCCCTGCCTTCTTCACAGAACTATGATCTCCTTAGTAAAGGCAGAATGTATTTCTTATCTTGTAGGCACTGCACCAAAGACAGTACTCAAAATTGAGCGAGCAATGAACAAATTACAGGAAAGCATGAAATCGGTACCTGTAAACTGGATTTAGATGTATTCCAATGAAATATTCTAATATTCAATGAAGTACTCTAATGATTCCAAGAAAACCCATGCTCACATAAATTTCATTTATATCACTTCTCATCTCTCATATTCACAAATTGAGAGAGCAAATCAGTCCCTTTTACACTGTTATCAGTGTGACATTAGAAACCATGGTGACACTTTGACATGTTTTTAGATGGTCTCTGAGTTAATTACTGGTAGCTGAAGTGGTTTTCATTACTGATCACTCTTGCATCGTGTTTTCCTAATCTGATTTCTGGTTTGGGCTAGATTTGCCATTGAATTACTTCAATCCCCTCACATGGAGAACTGACCCCGCTGCATATTAACTCATCTCACAACAATCGCCTGGTACTCTGGTCTATGAAACAAAGAGCATCCTTGAGTAGACATGAGCGGCTCATCACCTGTTTACTGATTTCTACAAGTTTGCCATCTTTTAAAAAGATCATCTTTTGTACTGAAACTGCCCACCCTGAAATACAGAATTAAGTGGTATTGTGTCCAGAAAAAAAATTTCAAATGACAAATCTCTTAATATATTCATTAACTTATTTAGGCTTAATAACAATACAAGTAAGAAGTATAACATTTTAGCATATAACATTTAATTAGGTAACATTCAGAAATATTTTACACTATAAATTATGCTTTATCAGATTTTCTTGTTTTGTTTCTTTCCATCCTACACTTTTGGTGCTTCAAAAAAATTGAAGTGCATTAAATTATAAAATATTTTTTCATCCACATGAGCTAGTGGAGAAATGGAAACAAACATGGAGTCATGAGGTAACTTTTGCTAGTCAGATACTACCTTGAGAGCCCACACATCCCCTTGAATATTTTCTTTACAATAAGAATTGTGTGGAAAAAATATTTTTATTTTGAAAATATTTTTCAAGCACTTCCAACATGATATGATGGAAAAAATAATACATCCAATGAAGATTTTATTTGAAAATACTAGCTATTGTGCGGTGGATAAAAGGGCTTGGGATTTAGGGACTGAAGTTTAATTTCTGGCTTTGCCAATTACCTGTGCTATCTGGACAAGTTACCCTCCTTAAGTCAGTTTTTTCATCTGTCAAGTGGACATAATAACCCCAACCTCCCTGAACTACTGCAAGATTTACATGAGATGGCACATTTAAAGCACTTAGTACATGACTGGCACATGGTAGATGTGCAATGAATGAAAGCCATCATCATCATTAACCATTTCTTTGTCCACAGTTATGCTCCCTTGGTCTACATATTCTTGTTTCCACAATGCAAAAGGCAATGCAGGAATAATTCATTCACCTTTATGTGCAAAAATTATAAATATATTTATAAGCGTAAGACATTCAGCTTGTTTACTGTCAACTTTATTGTTTTTCTTCCCCCATCTTGCTGTCAAAAGCTCACCTATTATCCTGCTCATTGCCACCTATACTACTAGACAAACAAGAAAAATAAGAAAGCTAACAATCAAATCAGTTAACTTAATAATTTTTAGCACCCTTCAAAAGAGGAATTAATATATGAAATTTAAGTCACTGACCAAAATGATGTAGGAAGTAGCAATTTTCAACAGAATCTCAATTATTCATACTTTTCTTTCCTTATCCAATTCATTTTATTGAGTATTTGTTATAATCAATAAATAGAACCA